GACGGGCCGAATGATACGGATGCGAGAGAGGTTCGAGCATTGCATGGAAACCAAGGGGTATGTATATGTGAAGCGCGAGCGTGTACGGTCGATATGCAGGGTCAAAGAAACATGAGGGATGCAAAACAGGCGAATCAGAGAATTGGGTAGCTGGGGTGGAGTGGGTTGGGTCTACAGCTCATCTTCGCCGTCGCTCATGCTGGCGCCGCGCGTGCGCTTATCTTTCCTGGGCGCCGCTGCCCGATGATGGGCGTTGGCAGAGCTGGCATAGTGCTGAGCACCGCCGACGAGCCAGGCAAGGTCGCGCTCCAGCCGGTTGCGCACCTCGTCCATCGCCTTGCGGATGAGCATCTCCTCGGACTTCGGCTGTTCCGCGTCCTTCTTCCCCTGCTGCGCACCAGTGTTCGGAAAGGCCGACGAAAAGGCGGGCGCAGTGGCTGTGGCTGATGCAGCAGCAGTACCTGTCGCCTCGAGATTGCGTGCCCAGGTTAGCACGACTTCCTGCGAAAACATCCTGCCGTCTCCGTTCACCGCCTTGTCGAGGCGGTGCAGCAGCGTGGTCCACTGCTTGAGGATGGCGGGCATCAGCACGCTCATCAGCGTGTCCGGCGACGAGGGAGAGGCGTATTCGGTGCCAAGCAGGTACGCAAGATTGCTGTGCTTGCCATAGGCGTCCGAGGCCGAGTGGCCAAAGGCGGAACCGGCCTTGGTGGGTGATGAAGGCGTGGAGCTGGCTGCGCCGAATCCGAACGACGTGGGCTGACTTGACGCGGTGAAGAGGTTGAACGCCAGGCTGGACTTGGTCACTGAAGGAAGGAGCGCCTCGATGCGCAGCACCCGGGTTGTGATGGTGAGCAAGAAGCTGAATGTAGTGGCTGGATGCACCTCTTCGCGGTCGGCCTGCAGACGAGGATCGCGCTCGCGAAGGCGCTGCTCGCGGTCCGAATCGAGCTCGGTGACGAAGAAAGGAAGATAGCCGAGAGCTGCGTCGACAAAGGCGGCGATGGGCGCGCGAAGGCGGCTCCAGGTGTACTCGTGTCGAGCGGAGCTGCCGTCGGCGACAAAGGGAATGGCGGCACGGATGGCCTTCTCCAATTCGTCGAGCGAGGTCTCGACCGAATCGAGCGAAGGCGTCGGCAGCAGCGAGAGGATCTGAGCAGGCAGCGAGGCGTCCTTGGACTGCGACAGGAGCGACGTGAGCATCGAGAGAAGCGAAGGCTTGTCCATGGAGGCGAGCATCTTGCCGATGTCGACATCGATGCCGGACATGCCGACTCGGTTGTTGAGGCCGTGTGCCTGTCGTTTGGACGCCGACTGGGAGTTGTGGAGCGCCGACAATGGAGTGTAGTGGCTGCCTCCCGTTGCGAGTGGAGAGAATGCGGACGATGCAAAGGCTGAAGACGGATTGGATAGTGGCGAAGCAGACGACGATGCTTGCGAGACGTGGAGCGGCTCCGCGTTGACGAGGCCGAAGCCTAGGCCTGCGCGCATGCGTTTGGGGAGCACGGATCGCTTGTGGTCATGATGCGGTGAGAAGGCGTCTGCGTTGAATCGGTTCCTTTGCGAATGGCCCATGTCTTCATCGTCGTCGACTTGGTCCTGGGCATCGTCCGAATCGCGCCTGCGTTTCGCATCGGAGCGTCTTGACGGGGACAGTGCGGATGGAGGGACAGAAGCCTGCGGTGTGCCAAACATGTGCGAAGCTGCGGATGTGGATGCAGGCGAGTTGGCGGCGGTGTTGTTGCCTCCGAACGAAGAGCCAAAGCCGAAGCCGAAGCCGAGTGGACTGGGAGCGTGATGGACCGGAGCGCTGTTGAACGGGATCTGGTGGCTCGGACCTGCGGCGACGGCTGGTGAGGAGGATCTAGACGGGGAGCCAGACATGGTGGAGAAGATGCCTGAAACAGACATGACTCGGGCGCTGTGGTGGAGGACTGAGCCTGCCAGCGATGAAAGAAGCGACCAACCTGATGCCCACGCTTGGTCCGGCCGAGGAGACGAAGAGGAGTGCAAGTACAGCGGTGCGCCCAATGGTGTCGATCGGGGGCAAGGAGAGGACACGCCGGAGGTGGGCAGTGATGATGGTGGGAGTGGGAAAGCAGCAAAGAGATTGTTGCTTGGATTTCGCTTTGGCGCCTGCCTGAGCTGAGGGGTTTTGATCGCCACTCTCTAGCCAGGCGAGAGAGGCTGCGCAAACGCACACTTTCAGCCTCAGCCACGCCGCTCCAGCAGCCGGTCTCATCAACACCACACTCTCGCCAGGCTAAATTTGCGGATTTTGTGATTTTGCGGACTTTGTGACTTTAAGGGTGCGCATGCAGCTGGGCGGCGTCTTTATGAAAAATCCCTATCATTCGAGGTGAGAGCAGCTCTAACACCTTCTCCTGATCGCCCAAAAAGGCCAACGTCAGCAGCGATGATTTGCGCAACAGCGTTGCGCGGCCTGAGCGGTGTGGAGGACGCGTCAGTAGTTGGAGGTGAAGCCGGAAAGTGACACTTTTGCTGCTGAGCATGAGCCCGAGCCTGAGCCTGAACCTGAGCCTAAGTAAGTCGGGTGGGTCGGGCGAGCGCTGCAGCTTTCTAGAGCTGCGCAGATACCCGCTGCGCATCGGCCCCCTTCTCAGACTCTCCCCACCACCAGAGCCAGTCAACTACGGCTGCCTTCATCGGCTGTAACTTAGCAAGGGAAACCAGACTCTCTTCCAATACCCGCTCTCAAGACACAAGCACCTGCGCCAGCGACCACAATCGCCGCTTTTGGCCGCTTGCGTCCCCCCCCCGACACTCCTTCCCGCCCCGGCCGCCTCCCTCTTAACCCACAACCATGGACGACGACGACATCCTCGAGGTCGATAGCCCCATGGAGCCTGCCGTCGATCTAGACGAGGACGAGGACGAAGAGATGCCCGCCCTCTCCCTCGATGGAGCCGCCTCGCAACCCGCCAAGAAGCCACGGACAGAGAACCGCCATCTCCAGCTCGACTACCCGCAGAGTCTCCCATACGTGTGCGAAACGCTCGACGAGTTCGACGCCCGCCTCGATCATATCATTCGCCGTCTCGTCGACTGCGTCCGCGCCAAGGACTACGACATCGGCCTCGTCCAGTGGAATCACCGCTTGCAGTGCCTTCTTTCGCTCAAGTACCCTCTCCTTCGCAAGACCAGGGCACGCCTCGCTCGCTTCTACTACCACCTCGCGGTGCTTCCAGGACTCAACACACGATGCATCGAGCTCGCCGCCAACATGTGCATCACCCTGATAGAGAACAAGAAGAAGTGCGACATTCGCGACCTCGTCCTGCCATGGAAGCCCCTCTACGCCATCCTCGAAAAGGAACTTTTCCCAAAGCGTCGCAGAACCGGCCTCACCAACATCTCGGACGTCCTCCTCGACCTTGCAGAGACTGCGCAGCGCTTCTTTCCCGCTAGCGACGCCGACGACATGCTTCGCACCTTCCTGCCAAAGATGGACGGCTCCAACCTCAACTCGGTCATCGCAACGCAGGCGTTCCTCGTGCACTTTTTGCCCATCAGCCATCCACAGCGATGGCTTCCAGCCATGTTCCGTCTCTGGGAGAGCTTCAATTCGTCCCTCTTCGACGACCAGATGCTCGACCTCCTCGCACGCCTCGCAGAGATGCACGTCACCGACCCTTCCATCAGCTCCACATCCGCCGCACGCAAGGCAAGCCTCTTGGCCGAATCTACTCTGCATCCCGAGGCGCAGACCGTCAGCAATACTCCTGCCAACGGCGACTCGCAGGCCGAGGCTAGCACGAACAACGGCGAAGCAACCAAGTCGCCCGACCCCGGTAGCTCGACACCCCCTTCGGGCACAGAGAGCCCTGCGGCAAGCGTCGGTCTCTTCAGCGACATTGGCATCTTCACCGAGCAGCAGTTCTCGCTCATCATGACAAAGTGTCTCAAGTCCGCCGGCCTTCCCGTCGGTTCCAGCAAGGCCGCCAACGCCGCCCTCATGGCTCAATCCGCCAGCGTGCGCAGCGGTCCCGACGCCGCTGCCTCCGGTGCCACGCTCAAGATGAAGAAGCCCACAGACCGCCTCCGCTCCTTTGCCGTCATCATTGCCTACTCGATCTCCAAAGACGGGCCCAGCCCCGCTGAGGCCGCCTCGGCCTCCTACGTACCCACTCCCACCGGCGCTTCTTCGCCCGGTGCAGCCAAGCCCGTCACCACGTATCCTGCAGGCTCCAAGGCCCTCGACCATCTGGCCAAGTTTGTCCAGGCCACCGAGAGCTACTTCCATCCCTCCAACTGGGGCTTGTGGCAGATCTCGCTCTCGAACCTGGTCCAGCAGATCATGTTTGAGTTCCTCAAGCGCGCAAAGGAAGAGGAGAGGCCGCAGTGCAAGACTCCGCATCAGTATCGCCTCACCGACGACATCAAGACAGAGATCGTCTCGATCCTCCGCACCGTCTGCCTTCTCTCCATGTTTTCCAAGGGGCCGCTCGCCATCGCTTCGTCCCAGGCGAGCTTGAAGCGCATGGCCATCCTGGCTCCCGAGCTCGTCATCCCCGCCGTGCTCGACCGCGCCTTCAACTCGCTCGAGGCTCTCGAGACCACACACCGCACCAACGCCGTCATTACCGCGCTCTCCACTCTCGCGCCCGTCTTCACCTCACGTCAGCTCGACCGCTCCGGTGGAAAGCATCTCCTTCCGCTCCTCCAGCTCTGCATCCCCGGCATCGACCTCAACGATCCCATGAAGACCATGAGCACCTGCATGTTCGTCCTCCTCTCCACCCTCTCGCTTCGCATCGATGACCTCACCCGGCCAGAGACTTACGCAGATGATCACGAGACCATCGAACCCCTTCCCGATCAGCCTACGCTGGGGCCAGC